TTGAGAGATAAAAAATGCAATTAAACCAATATTCTTGATTAATTTTATTAAAAAATATAATAATTTTGAAAAATATTTTTTTATGGTAAAAATTTTAAAATTACTTATTTTTATAAAATATAATTGTCTTATAAATAGAGTAATAATTTTTTCTTTTTCTCTTTCTGTTTGAAGAAATATTTAAATATCACTTTATAATTTTTTGCAACTTATTTAAGATTAAAAGAATAAAATGATAAAAATTAATAAGATAAACATAATAAAATAAAATATAAAAAAATATTAATATATTTATTTTATTAGATATAATAACATAATTAAAATATAATTAATAATATATATTTTATAAAATTATTAATATTTTTTATATAAAAATATAAAATAAAACCAGAACGGCCCGTTCTGAAATCGAAATGGGCCGTTCTGGTTGCATTTTCGGTGTGTTAATTTTGCACTTGGAACGGGCCGTTCCGGATGCAAAGTTAACACACCAAAAGTGCACCCAGAACGGCCCGTTCCGGTTTCAGAACGGGCCGTTCTGGGTCCAGGTGTTTTCAAAAAAATTCTCATCCACGTGGCATCCACGTATGCATCTACGTGGCGTCCACGTGGCTAAAAGTTAACACCGTTAAAGCAATTTGGACGGAAGTCCCATATTGAAACCAATTAATTAATTTGGGACTAAATTGAAACACATTAATTAGTTTGGGACCAAATTGAGACCTAAAATAAAAGTTGGACTACATTGAAACAAAAAAAGATTATAAGGGACCAAAATAGATTTTTAGCTAAAGATTTATTATTATTTCCAGAAAATTAGTTTTCCAACTCTTAATAATTCCATGGGAAACTTTGGTTAGAGTTATTTTTGAGAAATCATATTTCTTAAAAATATTATCTTTTAAATAATTAACAAAATGTGAAAAACCAACATTCCGAGTCTCCGGATTCAGATTCTTGAAAAAGTAAAAACTTTAGGTGTACCAACCACCATCTTATTCCGAAAATGATGTATAAGTACGGGGAAAAGCTCAAGTCCTATATCGACTATAGATTAGACAATTAAGTAGTATATAAGTGGGGAGTAATCCTCACCTTATAAGCCAGTTTTGTAGGGTTAAGTTAGACTTAAATCCACAATTCTAAGATGGTATCAAATCTATTTAGATTCATTCTAAAACTCAAGTCCCGCCAATCTTAAATATTAGACAATTAAGTAGTATATAAATGGGGAGTAATCCTCACTTTACAAGTCGATTTTGTATGGTTGAGTTAAGCTATTCTAAGAATAACTATGGAAAGAATGTTCATTAGATAAGCATACCACATTGGCAACAACAAAATCCAATTCCTTAGTGAAATTTTCTTTACGGCGCTCCAATTCTGCAGCAAGCTGAAAGCACACATTACAGATGGATGATTTGTATGGTCTTGTATAGGGAATGCAATAGATTAATGATTAATCAGTGAATTTCATTTTTAGTATTTGATAGAAGAACAAACCTTGGTGAAGATGACAACAACACACTCGATTAGAAGCTTGGCTAAGAACAATTCATCTGCCAACAACCTTTCTCTGAACCCCCCGAACATGAGCAACCACCGCAACACGGCTGACTCCTCCAACTGGAAGAACCTCCGCACTATCGAACCCGGTACCCTCCCCGCCGCAACTGCCGCCGCCAAGTCCGTCGGGAGACTCTCCAGCGACCTCCCACTCTCGGTCAGCGCCACCATCACCTCTTCCCTGTTGCGGTCCCTCTCCTCCTCTTCGTCACCGCCACCGTATCCGTCACCGCCGCCACCGCCACCGCTCCCCGATGACCTGCCGCCATCGCCGGCCGAGGAAACGGCGAAAGCAGTAGAATGTTTGAACTTGGAAGAGAAGAAGATGAGAGTTCCATGGCGGGTTGTGATGGCGCAGGTTGGCAGAGAGGGGTGGTTGCAGTGAAAGAACAAATGTGTGGAGAAGGAAGCTATAGCCATTCCAAAAATGGAGGGAGATGATAAGGTAGTTGATAGGTTTCCGTCTTGCTTCTTTATAGTTTATATTTACTTCTTTATATTCACTGCTATTTTTAGGACCTGTACAGTTAAATGTTTATTGGATAATTAAAATTTATAGTAAATAAATATTATATGTAAATATATAATTATGTTTAAATTTTATATAAATGTTTTTAAACATAAAAATTATATTTTAAATTTATGATAAATAATTTATATTATAATATAATTTATATTTACTTAATCAATTATTTATTTTAAAATGTTAAATTTAATTTATAAATAATTATGATCAATAAATTGAATTAGATAAAAGTTAAAATATTTTTTTAAAAAATATTTTATATTATTGAATTCTATATTGTTAGATAAAGAATTAAAATAATTATGACAGTTGTTTGAGTGAGTAATTAACTTATTTTATTTAATGGGTTTTATATCGATACATTATACTTACGAAACTTGTGACACCATTTCACCTATATTATAGTGGAACTTGAGTTTTTTAATGCCTTGAATGAAAAAAATAATAATTTTATAAATATTTGAACATTACTAATGACCCTAATTCCTAAATTTGAAAGTATAAAGATATAAATACTGATGGAAACTTAAGGAAAAACTTGACTGATGTAGTTTCTGTTGAGTTTATTGTTGAGAATGTTGAAGTTATGGTAATTGTTGAGTCAATTACTGAAACTCCTCATAAAGATCTTTATGACGACTAAAGAAGTTTTAGTTTTGATTATGTTAGCATTAGATTTGTATAGATTTATTTAGTTTGCTTCATTCATTTTTGCATTTCATGGCCTATATTGAAAAGGATATAGTATTGCTTGTTATTAGACATAGACTTGGATGTGTTTGCTTATTATAATGAATTAATTTCAAAATTACATCTTGTTTTAGAAAGCATAAAACTCATATTTCAACTTAATATTTCTCATTTCACGTGAAAACATAATGTTAGAGATTACAATGTGATTTGACATAAAATGGAACTTGGTTCATTCAAAAGAATTCATGATTAAATCAGGTAATAGATTACCATTTGAGATAACAGATTACTGAAACTTAATTTTAAGGTTCAATTCAAAATCTTCTATGTGATAATCAATTACCTATTCATGTAGTTGATTACCATGTTGACATTTGAGTGAAAACAAGTGAAACAAGTTGGAAAATCATCGAGATAATCAATTACCAGCTTCAGTAATCGATTACCTCTACTAAAAAATGAGTTTTATGGTTCTTGGAACACGAGATAATCGATTACTAGGATTAGTAATCGATTACCTCTATTCTTGTTTCAATAGATTTCAGTTTCATTAAAAACTGGTAATAGATTATTGTCGTTACAAGTTTTTAATGTTGAAATCTTATTTGCTCTATAAATATAACTCTTTTCAAAAACTTAAAAGAAGGATGACATATTTGATTAGAAAGATCAAAGAGTGAAAAAGAAAAACATTTTCAAGAATCTAAAAATTATTTTTGAGTAAAGATCAAATATTTTTCAGAACAATCAAAGAGCAAAGAAAATTCAAGAAAGATGTTATCTTGAAAGAAGTTTAAGAAATTCAAGATTGCTGAACAATTCTTTGTGGAAGATCAATCTACACATCAAGTGTATCAATTTTGATCTTTAAACTTTTTTTTGAATAGTTGGGTATGCTATGGTATGTGACTCTTTGAGATAAGGGTATCTCAAAAATGAGTGAAAGAGAAATCTTGAGATAGGTTTTCTCAGGTGGATTCTTGAGGTACAAGAATTCTAGTGATTGTATAATCTTGTGGGATCAAGATTAGGTGATTGTGTTTTATGATTATAATATTACTTGTACATGGTGTTTGTAAAGAATATTATAGAAGAAAGAATGGATTTAGCGAGGAGTTAAGTTTGAAACTGGATGTAGGCCTTTGTATGGCTAAACTAGTATAGATCACTTTGCAATTTCTCTCTTTACCTTCATATCTTGTTATAATTCATATTGAATTGATAAAAATAATTTCAAGAACATAAAAGAAACATTTTCTTGAATATTATAGATTGTTGATTTGTAAAATATGATATGATATATGCAATCTAGTAATAAAGTGAAAGAAGATAATAACTAAAATCAATTTGGATTACTTCTATTTCGCTTTTTAATAAATATGATATACTTTGTATCTTGTTTGGTTTGTAATTTGAATATGATTAGTAAAAAGTTGTATCAGAAAGAAAGAAATTAGCAAGAGATCAAGAAAGACCATTAGAAGCCTTCTAAGCGAAGAATCTATTCAACCCCCTTTCTAGATTCGTGTTCTACCTGGGACCAACAATTGGTACCAGAGCTGAAATTTGATAATTACACAAATTAGATCCTAAGAACCCTTAGAATGGCTAGTAATCAATTACTTTTTGTGCTGAAGGTGCCTCCATAAACAGACCCCCTATATTTTGTGGTGATAACTATCCATTTTGGAAAGTGAGAATGAAAATCTTTATGGAATCTGTTCATAGGAGTATTTGGCAGGCTGTAATTACTGAGTACAAGATTCCTACAATAAATATAGAAGAGAAAATTGTTGAGAAACCTTTTGATAGTTGGGAATTGAGTGAAATTATAAGAGCTAAAAATGATGCAAAAGCTTTAAATATTATACATTCTACATTGAATTCTGATGATTTTTTATTTTATTTATAATTTTAGCTTGTACAATAGCTAAGAAAGCATGTGACTTAATTCAAGTCACTCATGAAGGAACTTCGAAAGTTAAGCATGCAAGGAAGAATACCCTCATTTAAGAATATGAGACATTCAAAATGACACAAGGAAAAACCATCATGGATGTCAGAACCCAAAATATTCCGATCTTGCCCACATGGACCTCCATTTTGAAACTCTTATCGATTAGGGAATGCTCGAAGACCAGACAAATCCCTAATTAATGGTTTTTAGAAAACAATTTGAAGGAGTCATCACCTATGTTTTACTCAAAACATCGAAAAAATGAAAGATTCTTAAAATTACCAAAATGGACCACATAGCTAGAATTGGGTTTTATGGTCGATTAAGTGTAGGGGGGAAGGTATTAGGTACCCTGTAATGCCCTATATCGGTACCCTATGATGAAATTAACGCAAATGAGAATAAAAGTTCAAATATTTAAGTTCCCTTTATTATTGGTTATTTAAATGCTTAAATTTAAAATTACATAATTGATCTTAAGACGTCTATAAGATCGCTTTTATTTATGACAATGTTTATGACAAAGATAGTAGATAATAGAGAAGTAATTTGATAGGGATTGTAGACACCCAATTTTGTTCGAGGTATCCAAATCAAGGACAAAGGTCAACTAGCACGAGACAAACAACCCTTGAAGGCCCAATGCGTTGGGCAACATTTTTGTTTTGATAATATCTATCGTTACAAACCTATTTTTGACGATCCCACCATTGAAGTTAAAGATCATTGTATTGAGAAGATATCATCAAAATTTTAGTATGATCCAACGATTAACAAATTCTCTAAAAGCCTTACACTGCAGTTGGAAAAGAGTAGCACACACAGCCCCGAAGGGCCAATTAGAGCACCTAAACGGGCTAAGATGGCTTCGGAAGGCCCAGAAAACACAAAAAAAAACTAATTTGGGGTGCAGAACGACCGCTTCTAATGCTGGAACGACCCGTTCCCCTTTCTAGAAAAGTTTTGCGTTGGGCAGCGTTTTTGTTCTGATAATATCTCTCGCTAAAGACCTAATTTTGACGATTTGACCGTTGAAGATAAAGATCAATGTATTAAGAAGATATCATCAAATTTTCAGCATGGTCCAACAGTTAATGAATTCTCTAGAGGCCTCGCATTACAACTGGAAAATAGGAGTCTTATACTAGACAACGTTTTTGTTATGATAGTATATCTCACTACAGACCTAATTTCAACGATCCAATTGTTGAAATTGAAGATCAATATATTTTAAGGATACCATAAAAGAACCATCACAATTCGACGGTTAACAATTTCTCTAGAGGTCCTGCATGGTGCCTAGAAAAAGATTGTATTTTTATAAAATTTAGTCCCACATCAGACAACTCTCTTATGTTTTTGCCTCCTAGTTGACTATATAAGAAACCCTCTAGCCAAGGGATTGAATTGACGTCAAGTTGCATAACTTCCCTTTCTCTATATAAATCTCTAAGTGATAGTGAGCTTTTTTTTGTAGAATGAAGAGTTGTCAAAATGCACCTCGCACGCATTTGAGATAATTCCCTTATAAAAGGCTTGTTTCGGAGATTCTAAATTATTCTCTTTTATTTATTTATTTTATTTATTATTTCATTTTTTTATTATTATAATTATTTCTTTATTATTTTATTTATAATTTTTATATGCAATAAATAAATAATCATGTAGATAATAGGTATTTTTCTTCATGCAAATAATATTAAATAATAAAAGGGGATAAGATATTTAAATTATAATTTATTATTATGCTAATATCATCATAGGGTGCCGATTTAGGGTGTCGTAGGGTGCAATTATTTAGAAAAATTTGTGAAAACCTTTCCCAATGGCTTTGAACATCCACGCTCATGTATGACCAATAAAAATTAATTTTAAAAGACTTAGGGTTTTATTAACCCCAAAATGGCCCATGAGACCTCCCTCATGACTTTCCTTAACCAAAATCTTTCTAATGGATCCTTGGGGTGCAAAGTGATTGACAAAAACTCAGCCCTCAAATTATGAGATAATTTGATGTTTAAGTGTGGATTATGATAGTAGACACTGCAAGCTTTAAATCCATATCGATCTATGCATCTGTTTAAAAGCATCGCTATAGACACAATGTTTTCTGTTTACACACAATGTTTTTTGCACTACCATGGACAAAGCATCGCTATAGACATCTACCTAGTATAAGATGCAATTTGTCCCTTGCACTACTCGCCTCCTTCAATCACTCTGCACTAAAAATATTTGCCCCTTCCACTGCTCGCCTAAAAGCTCCAATGGTTCCAATGGACGGTCACCCTAAAC